AACCAGCTCTTGGTTTTCATTGATTTTTTTTCTATTGTTTTATTCTTCTCAATTTTGTTTATTTCTTTTCTGATCTTTATTATGTCCCTCCTGCTCACTTTAGGCCTCATTTGTTCTTCTTTTTCCAATTTTGATAATTATGACGTTAGACTATTCACTTGGGTTTGTTCTTCCTTCTTTAAATATGCCTAGATTGCTATATACTTTCCTCTTAAGACTGCTTTTGCTGCGTCCCACAGAAGTTGGGGCTTTGTGTTGTTGTTGTCATTTATTTCCATATATTGCTGTATCTCCATTTTAATTTGGTTGTTGATCCATTGACTGTTTAGGAGTGTGTTGTTAAGCCTGCATGTGTTTGTGAGCCTTTTTGCTTTCTTTGTACAATTTATTTCTAGTTTAATACCTTTGTGGTCTGAAAAGTTGGTTGGTAGAATTTCAATCTTTTTGAATTTACTGAGGCTTTTTGTGGCCTAGTATGTGGTCTATTCTGGAGAATGTTCCATGTGCACTTTAGAAGAATGTGTATCCTGTTGCTTTTAGATGTAGAGTTCTATAGATGTCTATTAGGTCCATCTGTTCTATTGTGTTGTTCAGTGCCTCTGTGTCCTTACTTATTTCTGTCTGGTGGATCTATCCTTTGGAGTGAATGGTGTGTTGAAGTCTCCTAAAATGAATGCATTGCATTCTATTTCCTCCTTTAGTTCTGTTAGTATTTGTTTCACACATGCTGGTGCTCCTGTGTTGGGTGCATATATATTTATAATGGTTATATCCTCTTGTTGGACTGAGCCCTTTATCATTATGTAATGTCCTTCTTTATCTCTTGTTACTTTCTTTGTTTTGAAGTCTATTTTGTCTGATACTAGTACTGCAACACCTGCTCTTTTCTCCCTATTGTTTACATGAAATATCTTTTTCCATCTCTTGACTTTTAGTCTGTTCATGTCTTTGGGTTTGAGGTGAGTCTCTTGTAAGCAGCATATAGATGGGTCTTGTTTTTTTATCCATTCAGTGACTCTATATCTTTTGATTGGTGCATTCAGTCCATTTACATTTAGGATGATTATCTATAGGTATGTACTTATTGCCTTTGCAGGCTTTAAATTCGTGGTTACCAAAGGTTCAAGGTCGATCTCCTTAGTATCTAAGAGTCTAACTTAACTCACTTAGTATGCTGTTATAAACACAATCTAAAGGTTCTTTTGTATTTCTCCTCCTTTTTCTTCCTCCTTTCTTTATATATTAGGTATTAAATTCTGTACTTTTTCTCTATCCCTTGATTGACTTTGGGGATAGTTAATTTAATTTTGCATTTGCTTCATAATTAGCTGTTCTACTTTCTTTACTGTGGTTTTATAACCTCTGGTGACAGCTATTCAACCTTAGGAACACGTACATCTATAGCAGTCCCTCCAAAATAGACTGTAGAGATGGTTTGTGGGAGGTAAATTCTCTCAGCTTTTGCTTATCTGAAAATTGTTTAATCCCTCCTTCAAATGTAAATGATAACCTTGCTGGATAAAGTAATCTTGGTTCCAGGCCCTTCTGCTTCATGGTATTAAATACATCATGCCACTCCCTTCTGGCCTGTAAGGTTTCTGCTGAGAAGTTTGATGTTAGCCTGGTGGGCTTTCCTTTGTATGTGATCTTATTTCTGTTTCTGGCTGCTTTTAACAGTCTGTCCTTATCCTTGATCTTTCCCATTTTAATTACTAGTGTCTTGGTGTTGTCTTCCTTGGGTCCCTTGTGTTGGGAGATCTGTGGATCTCCACGGCCTGAGATACTGTCTCCTTCCCCACATTGGGGAAGTTTTCAGCAACTACCTCCTCAAAGATACTTTCTATCCCTTTCTCTCTTCTTCTTCTTCTGGTATCCCTATAATGCGAATATTGTTCCACTTGGATTGGTCACACAGTTCTCTCAATATTCTTTCATTCTTAGAGATCCTTTTTTCTCTCTGTGCCTCAGTGTCTTTGTATTCCTCTTCTCTAGTTTCTATTTCATTTATTGTCTCCTCCACCGTATCCAACCTGCTTTTAATACCCTCCATTGTGCTCTTTAACTATTGGATCTCCCACCTGAATTCATTCCTGAGTTCTTGGATGTCTTTCCGTACCTCCACTAGAATGTTGATGAGTTTTATTTTCAAGTCCCTTTCAGGAAGAGTCACGATGTCCGTATCATTTAAATCTTTCTCTGGAGTTGTATTAATAATTTTACTCTGGAGAAGGTTCCTGTGGCATTTCATGTTTGTAATATGGCGCCCTCTAGTGTCCAGATGCTCTCTTCTGGAGCTGCTCAGCCCCTGAAGCAATGTTGGCATTGCAGGGGAGCGGTACTGGTACCTGGGGGGAGGAAAGAGCTGTTCCCTGCCTCCTGGCTGCTGTGCCTGTGTCCACTGCCAGAACCAGTGGGCCAGTTACAGGTATAAGTTTTTGTCCCAGAGCAGCCGGATATGGATCCCTCCTTACCACAAGCGGCCGGAATCCCAGTCACCCCAGGAACTCTGCCTGTATTAACTTTCCAACCTGGTAGGCATGAGAGTCTCATGAAAGCACCATGAAATGTAGGTTTGTGCTCCCAGAGCAGATCTCCAGGGCTAGGTATTCAGCAGTCCCAACCTTCCACTCCCTCCCTGCTTTGTTTCTCTTCTTCCTGCCATTAAGGTGGAGTGGGGGAAGGGCTCGTGTCCTGCGGAGCCACTGCTCTGGTACATTACCCTTTTTGGTGAGGTCTGCTCTTTTCTCCATGTGTATGCAGTCTGATGTCATCCTCTTTCCTGTTGCTCTCTCAGGATTAGTTGCGCCAACTATATTTTCTAATTGTATCCAGTTTTAGGAGGAAGCCTCTGTCTCTCCTCTCACGTGACCATCTTTAATCTCCTCTCTCAAAGGTGTTGTTTTTTATAGGGTTGAGAATTTTGGGTCTCAGCTCTGTAGTCAGGTGTTTAGATGTAGATGTTTGGAAATCAGGGGTCCAAATTGAGAGGGAAATTACAAAAAGGAAAGATTATTGAGGATTTGGATAGTCATTAAATGTCTGATGGAGGAGAGAATTGTTAGAGGTGATTTTGCATATTGAGGACCAGGCCTATGATGGATACTTGACATACCTTATCTCAAAGAAATGAATGACCAGACATATTAGAGAGAGTGAGAAAGCAATTTCTAGGTAGGGTAAGTCATAAAATTTAAGTTGGAAGGGCCCCCCATAAATTGTCCAGGCCAGAAATTCTTAGTTCAGAGTTGGTGGCACCGTTTGGGGTTCATGGATAGATTTCAGGGAACTCATGAATTCCCAGAAATCATGTATATCATTTTGCATACCTTTCTGAGGGGAATTGGGATCATAGTTCCTATTAGATTCTCAAAGGGGTCCAAGCTTAAAAAGCTAGTTAGTGACAGAGATGGGAACTGACACCCAGGCCTTTTCATTTGTAATTTCTTACTTATTGCAGCACCTTAAGTTGAAGGACATGGAACAAAAATGGAGACTGGATTAAGCTACCATTTTAGTAACTGGCGTGAAAGTGAACAACTGTCCTGGGGCCGACAGTCTATTTCCACACCAGTGGCAGAAGGATGACCTTCAATTTGTCTCTTCACAGTGAACCATTAGTTTTATAGTTGAAATAATGCTACCAGTCACCATAATAGCTTTCTCAGTTGAAGCTCCTCGAGAGAGATTATCCGTGACACAGTTTCTGCAGTTCCTTTCCAGTTCATACCTTTTCTGACCTGCAGTGGCCCCCAGTTTTCTGCCTAATCAAATGAAAACTCCTTTGCCTGATTTGTCAGATGCTATGCTACTATAGTCTATTTAGCCAGCGTATACTCTGTGTTCCCATCAGGCTAGTGTCCTTATGATTGGCTCTCCATACTGTCCCACGTCTGTCCTTCTCCCCTACCTCTGTAACTTTTCTCATGTGGTTCCCCTGCCTACAAAGCCCTCCATTTATTCTCTTTCATTTCCACATCCCCAGCAGGGGTCCAGTGCAATTCTGCTCTCCACAGAGCCTCTCCTGGTTGGCCATTTTGTACTTCCTCTGAACACCTACTGCATTTATTGCTTGTACTGCACACATTAGTGCTTCAGTATTTCCACAGGACTTTTCATTGGAAATGTTTCCATGATCACCTTAGTAGTGGGGTTCAAGGATGTCCTAGGTGGGACTCTGGACACCCTCAATCCCTACTTCAGCCAGAGCAATTCCACTTTAGTTTTATATATAGGAAGTCTGTGAATTTTTTTTGAAGAAATGTGCCCCCTGCCTAGCCCCTCACTGAAGCTTGGAAGACACTGGATCTGTCTTGTGTGCTGACTACGTCATTACTGTTAACTCGTAATGGGCAAGGACTAGGACTTACACTACTTTGAACTTAATATTACTATTCCCAGGCAACTGGTGCAATTTTGAGCATAAACTAGACACTTAGGAAATGATATTATTGTATGGCTCCCGTTTTGGGGATAGGAAATAGTGAATAACCTTACATCAGAAATTTACCTTAACGAAGCACTCAGAATAGTATTTCAGGGTTGATCTTTGAGAAAGAAACTTAAATTTGTGGTGGTCTTTCCCCTTTTGGATACAAAACCTCATTCTATTTAAGCTGCCTTACTTATGTATACATGTTTAAGACAAATGTCATTATTGGTATTCCCTATCTTCAAAAGTTAACCAAATTTAACTGTCACATTCATGCTTTCATATAAGCATTATGGTAGCATTGTGCAATTGACTTACAGAATGATCAATATCAGCATACCTAAAAATCTAGCAAAAATTAAATTCAGAAGTTTTTGGCAAGAAATGATTAAAAATGGAAAATGACAGTGTTTCAGACCAGTTATTTCAGCTTTCTGAATCATATCAATTATATAAACCAATAAAGACCTAAGTATTTAAATCAGTGGTACTATCAACTTGTTAATGCTCTTTTGTTTTGTTTTGTTTTGTTTTTCCTGCTCTCTGCCTGGTTCATTGTCTTTACCTACAGGTGTACTTTATTGTCGGCTTCCAAAGATTACTAACTTTTATCTGTATCGTTAAAATTGAACTGCCTTGGCTAAACTGCTACTCTTACCTGCTGCTTCCATTATTGCCTTCTTCAGCAAAATAAGGCTCTCTGAAGCCCAAGAATTACAAGAAATAAACACCATTTTTAGAAGCCTTGCCACTATGAAACTTAAGCTAAATGTGCTCACCATTATTTTGCTGCCTGTCCACTTGTTAATAACAATATACAGTGCCCTTATATTTATTCCATGGTATTTTCTTACCAATGCCAAGAAGAAAAACGCTATGGCAAAGAGAATAAAAGCTAAGCCCACTTCAGACAAACCTGGAAGTCCGTACCGCTCTGTCACACACTTCGACTCACTAGCTGTCATAGACATCCCTGGAGCAGACACTCTGGATAAATTATTTGATCATGCTGTTTCCAAGTTTGGGAAGAAGGACAGCCTTGGGACCAGGGAACTCCTAAGTGAAGAAAATGAAATGCAGCCAAACGGAAAGGTTTTTAAGAAGGTAAAGCATATTTGTGCTTTTTAATTTTTTTTTAAAGGGGCAGGTACATTCTACTTTATCATAAATCAAGTGAATTTTAAATATGCTGGCTTTCCATGACAGTGCTGTGTAACTAATTCTCAGAAGGAGCTCATAGCTTCTGCATATTCTTAAGGGCAATTTTAGAGTTCGACACTTTGAACAGTATTTCAGTTGCATGTTTGAATAAATATACTGATCCTTCAGAATGTCTCCCTTTAACAGTTAATTCTTGGGAATTATAAATGGATGAACTACGTCGAAGTGAACCACAGAGTGAGTAACTTTGGTAGTGGACTCACTGCTTTGGGATTAAAACCAAAGAGCACTATTGCCATTTTCTGTGAGACCAGGGCTGAGTGGATGATTACAGCACAGACCTGCTTTAAGTACAACTTTCCTCGTAAGTGTCTTGTTTTTTTTGGCAAGGGCTTTAGTTATGTATGAAAATGTCTTGAGAGCCTCTTGTTTTCAAAGTTGGTGTTCCTTTTTTTCTGCATAATTTATGTCCGTAAAACAGTATGTAATGTATTTATAAGATGTCTGATAACTCCTGTTAAAGATAGTGACTTCTAATTGCTACTGTGAGTATTGGCAACTTAATGGATTGAATTTAGAATTTTATTTTTCATTTGGAAATGAACTGTACCTGAACAATTTGGGGTTTGGGATCTTTTTTAGGCAGTGGCATACCAAATAATGGTTTCAAAAAAATTGTGGTTTAGGATAATTCTAGTTCATTGCTTCAAGGCCTCTTATTTGACTTACTCCATTTTACATGTGAAATAAGTTTGTGGCAACTTGAGCTGTCATTAGATATGTCAGCCAGAAGATAAAAATGGGTATATTTCTGATTTATAAGCATTCATTTTTGCCACTGTACAAGAAATTATTTTAAAAAATCAGAAGTCCAGAACAGTGCCTGTCACATACTGAGCACTCAATTATTTGTTGAATGAAACAGGACACTGTAGGTATAGTGTAAGAATCAAGAGCATGCATTTCTTTTTTTTTAAATTTTTTATTAAGGTATTATTGATATACACTCTTAAGAAGGTTTCACATGAAAGAACAATGTGGTTACTACATTTACCCATATTATCAAGTCCCCACCCATACCCCAGTGCAGTCACTGTCCATCAGTGCAGCAAGATGCCACAGATCCACTATATGCCTTCTCTGTGCTACACTGTTCTCATGATCCCCCCACACCAAAGAGCATGCATTTCTAACAAAAATGGATAATATGAAATGCTGCCCTATGTACCTTTTGCCCAACTTAACAATCAACAGCTTGTGAAAAGTGGCTCTTGAGCATATTACTGTTTTGGTAACCAGCCTAGAGCTGAATTTTCAAGTCTAATATAAATTTAGCAGATGTCTTTTGATTCTAACTAATCTTGGTTTTAGTTAGGTTTTCATTGTCTGGTAGCTTCTAAAGAGTAGATCTCCTTGACTCCTCCAATTAAGGCTTAGAGGTCTCTAGTCAGCTTGGATACTGGTCCCAAGAAAGCTTTCTGGAAGGAGTTGGGAATCTGATTCTAACTTGAGATTCTTAAAATTTGAGCAATTTCAATGACTTATCCATTATTTGGTGCTATATGATGATGATCAGTGAAAGTCCTGTCGGGTAGAGACTTCCATTTCATAGGGGAGTCCTAGCAGGTAGTTCTGATTTGTATTATCTGTTCAGCCAGAACCTATTGACCTTGAGAATATTAACTGACTTTTGACCAGTTGTGGCACTTCAGTATTTATGGGTTTCTTTAGGCTTAGAAAGTTAGAATCCTGAGAATTTTTAAGGAAAAATTGGGGCTACCAGAAAGTTTGAGACAGGGTTGAAGGGAGACTATGAAGTCAAGTTAAATTATAAAATCCCTTTGCGTCTGTGAATGTACCTATCCTTAAAGGCTGACTTAATATATCTAATAACTTTATCATTTAATTTTTGTGTTTCTTTTTTATTATGTAGTTGTGACTTTATATGCCACACTTGGCAGAGAAGCTGTAGTTCATGGGTTAAATGAATCTGAGGCTACCTATCTGATTACTAGTATTGAACTTCTGGAAAATAAGCTTAAGGTAAATACGAAGTTTTCTTTTAATTCATGTTAGTGTTATCTGACAGGATAGAAAAATGTTCAATAATTGAGTTTATTGCAGACCCATACTTAATAGTTGGATTTTCTTTCTGCTCAACAGGCTGCATTGTTAGATATCAATTGTGTTAAGCACATCATTTATGTGGACAGTAAGACTATCAATAAAGCAGAATATGCTGAAGGATTTGAGATTCACAGCATGCAATCAGTAGAAGAGTTGGGATCCAAGCCAGAAAACTGTAAGTAACTCAGTTAAAACAAATTGATTCATCTGGTCAAGGTTTGTTATTTCAGTAGGTTAGGAAAAGAAGTAACAAGTGAAAACTGTAAAGTTCTTTGATTTAAAAAAAAGCTTAAAAATGTCCAAAAACTATCAAGACTGTATTTGATTAAGGTTTTTCCCTCTATTTCTCCTCAAAAAGGTAACTACTGTTTTAAAATTTACTAACTATTTGAGATGTGCTCAGTGGTTCACACTTAGAGCAACTGCTATCAATTTCCTTTTTTCAAATAACCTATATTATAACCTTCTAACTTGGACCTTCCATGAGGAAAAGATCTCAGGCCTTTCTATTCAAATTTTTTAAGGCTCAATGCTAGCGAATTTAATGATGTCTCAGAGGATGCAAAGCTGTTTGCCAAGATCATGCTTGAATTTATTGTACTACTGAGGTATGGTAGTTGGTATATAATTTAAATCAAGTAAATGGAACTTGTTGCAAAATGTCAGTTGGTCATCAGACAGAGGGCTGTGGAAATTAAATACTCCATTTAAATAGTATTTTTTTCTCATGTTTAATGTGAACATCATAGTACTGTACTAGATGAAGAAAGGATTCATTCTGACAGGATAACATACTGGTTATTAGCTTCTGAATATTTGACAACTAGGGACTGAACACATGCTTGCAATAACAGGTATAGATTATAGCTCTCTACTGTGTGTGGGGTATGGCAAAGAGGTTGAGATTTTACCTACTTGCAAGCAAATATATGAGCTGGCCACAGTTTTTGGGAAGCACAAGACTCCTGGGTCAGAGATGAGGAACAGTTTTTTATGCATAGCAATTACAGTAGGCAGAGTATCAGCATTTATGTTGCTTCCCAGCACCCTTTTCCACCAGGCAGTGCCAAGAGGGGTAGATGACACCTGTACACACAGTGCGTTGTGTTAGAGGAGAAGACTGTGCTTAGGGAAACCCAACCTTTTCTAATGGGCAGTAAGTATGCCTGCCCTTTGCTCTAGAAGGAGAGATTATCTCTACTGTACTGGACAGTAAGCATGCCTGCTCTATGTGCTGGAGGGATGCACTATATCTTCCAAGTCTGTTCACTATGCAAACATCCTCGAAAAGATAGTCCAGAGCAAAGTCAGTGCCTGTGCTCATAAGGTGTGCAGAAACTCAAGAGACTCATGGAAAATAGTCTCTCAATGCCAGGTTGACCCTGTAAGATTGAGGTAAACTTGCCTGTGAAGTCCTGATCACGAGGGATCTCTTGCTAATTCTGCTGGTTCACCAAAGGATATTGGCACAAAACTATGGGAATTTTGGTTCTCATCATTTTGTGTGAATGATAACATGATAGACCACATATCCTCCAGGTTCCATTCATTTCTACAGTAGATAAGACATTTTTTTGTGAAACTTTACCTGAATAGAAAGTTGTTGTTAGGATGATAAGAATGAAGTGTCTCGTTGTGAACATAGACTGAGAAAAGGTTAACATATCTATTGCTGCTGCTTCCATTAGTCACCCAAGGAAGGATGTAGTTCCTATTTGCTTGGTCTATAACCTGTGACAGTAGATCTCTTTAAAGAGCATTAGCATTAGCCAGTTTAAGTATAACTTTATTTTTGGTTATTTAAATGGTAAATCACATTGAAGTTTTAACTGGCACATAAAAATGTAATTCATTCTTATAAACTGATTTTTAAGAAAGGGTTTATTTTGTATAGCAGTTTCAAGTTTACGGCAAAATTGAGGGGAAGGTAAGAGATTTCCCATGTACCTCCTACCCCTACAATGCATAGCTTCTCCCATTTCCACCAGAGTGGTACATTTGTTACAACTGATGAACTTACATTGACACATCGTTATTACCCAAAGTCTGTAGTTTGCATTAGGGATCCCTCTTGGTGGTGTATGTTGTATGGGCTTGGACACATACATAATGATATGTATCACTATTATATTATCGTAAAGAGTATGAACTGATTTACTAAATATAAACTATCATAGTAAATTTATACTTAATTCTGATAACACATCTGTAGATTCTTGGCCATTTTGGTGTATTCTGGAAAGAAAAGGAGGTTACTAGGTTAGCACGATACACTGTCTTGAGTTGGAAGTCTCAGTATGCTGTTTAAAACTTAGGATTTTAGAATTTTAGAGTTGAAGTTGATTTAAAGATCCAGTCAACAACAACAACAAAGAAGCACAAGGACACTTAGGGAATTGATGGATATGTCTGTTACTGTGGTTGTGGTGATGGTTTCACAGGTGTTTGCATATGTTCAAGTCATCAAATTGTATACATTAAATATGTTCAGTTTTCTGTATATCAATTATGCCTAAATAAAGCAATTTAAAAAAAAGGAGCAGTTTAGATACTATCTCTTTAAGGAGCACTGTTGTCAGTCTGGCCCAGATTACATAAATTAACAGCAAGAAACAAATTTATGTCACATTAAAATTCTTAAACATAGATATACAGCATTTTTTTAGATTGTGCATATAAGCATTTAAATGAGGAGTTGCAGCTTCACTCAACTTTGTGTTAGTTTAGCATTGTGAAAGGACGAAAATTCTGTAATAGTAATTCTCTTTATTAATAGGCTAAAGATGTTTTCAAGTAACAGCATTTGCAGTTTTTAAAATTCTTTTTCTGTGTATGTCTATTCTAATTATATTTATTAAAATGTAATTTTTTGTCTGTGTAATCTGAACATGTTAGGTTCATAATGTCTTTTTTTGTTTTTCCAGTAATGCATTTTCATTCTATTTTACAAAAGCATCTATCCATAAATTCATTGAGAAGGAAAGAAAACATCCTCACAACAGATAGTTCGAAAAAGCATAACTGTAGTGCACAGGTTAGCAAACTATGTACAGCCTGCCATCTGTTTCTCCAAAATAAAGTTGCATTAGAGTCCAGTCACATCCATATCTTTAACATATGGGTCCTTTGATTATACAACGGCAAGGTTAGGTAGTTTCGGCAGAGACCATATGGCCTTCAAAGCCTAAAATATTTACTGACTGCACCTTTTGCAAAAAGTCTGCTGACTGCTGCTCAAGGTGGCTAAATATGATCTGCTGGGAAGACCTGACAGGACAGCACTGGGGCTTGGGACCCTTAAGATGATGATTCCTACCTTCAGACAGTGAAGTTTAGACACTGATTAGATACTACCTTTGATCGAAATGAAGGGCATTTAAACCCCTCTACAGTATCTCTGTCTCTTGGTATCCTAAAATTCTTGTCTAATTTTGATTAAAAAGAGTCACTATGGTCTCATCCAAACAGGGGAAGAACCTGTAATTATAGGAGTGTGTGTTTGTATGTGTGTGTCCAGAAGAGAGAGAAAGGACTTCCTGCTTTAATTTTTATTTAACTATACTTTGAATACTTTGAAAAATGATTTCCTATATAGATTTCAAGAAGCAACAATCAAAACAGTAGAGAAGATAATTTTGGTTTAATGTCCTTCGGATTTTACTTGCTATTTGAAATCTAATCTTACATGTGTTTAATGTATAATGATGTCATTCAGTGTCCATGGTTCAATAACTTTAAAATAAAATGACATTTGTAAAAACTTAAAAAAAAATCCCAGTCCAGAGGTTATCATTCAGGAGTGTGTATGAATGTCACCTGTGAATACTTTGATCCATCCCAGACATAAAGAATAAGAATTTTCAGAACTAGGGTCGAGAGAGAGAGTATTTTGTTGAAGTTGCACAGGTGATTCTCATGCCTATCCGTGGTTAAGAACCACCATCTAGTCAAACCATCTCATTTTAGAGATGAAAGGTCTGAAGCCTGGGTAACTTAGGCTATGTCTTCCTGATTCTCCAAAGTCCTAGAAAACTTTCCCCAACACCTTTCTGTATGCAAGACTGTGGAGAGGCATGAGCAGACAGGGATTAGGCTCAACCTGCAGAAGATGGGCCAGATGGAGCTTAACATTCTCATTGCAGACCACCAGAATTTTATAACTGTTTTTGTGTTGATTATCAATAGAGAATATTTGTTTTAAATAGTTTTATCATTATGTACAATTATTATCTTTGTTTAGTAATTTAACTTTTACACTGAAGAAAACCTGGTGCTTTCTCATTCAGTGAGCATTCCTCCAGCTAGACCAACTCCTTCGGACCTGGCTATCGTCATGTATACCAGCGGTTCTACTGGCCGACCTAAGGGGGTGATGATGCATCATAGCAATCTGATAGCTGGAATGACAGGCCAGTGTGAGAGAATTCCTGGCCTTGGGTAAGATAGAATTTTTCAAATTGCTTCTTAGAAATCAGAGCTCATGTCTGGCATTCTCTAAACTATTTCATTAAAATGTTAAGGTATTGACCTTTTTAATATACAGTGTTTTTTTAAGAATGGCTAAAATGTTTCTCTTATTTTGTTTTAGACCAAAGGACACATATATTGGTTACTTGCCTTTGGCTCATGTATTAGAATTGACAGCAGAGATATCTTGCTTTACCTATGGATGTAGGATTGGATATTCTTCTCCACTTACACTCTCTGACCAGGTGACAAGCTTTTCAGTATATTGGCATGAGCATATTAACTTATATTGTTTGGCTGCGAAGGTACTGCTAACACATGAGATATTTTAATTTAGCTAAAATTTTCTCCTTAGCTTGAAAAATAGGTCCCATGAGCAATATGTAGCTGTTGTAAATACCCTTGTGGATTTGTTAGGATTGCTTTATCTATGTATTTTTAAAATATTTTTAAACACAGTTATTTTCATCTTGTCTCTATTAGATTTTTACTTTGGATAGCTGGCATAGAGAATATAAATACATTGAGCCTTTTTGACATATTACCCATGAACAGTGGAGTTTTTTTTAAAGGAAATGTGAGATTTTGACCCAGTTTTGCTCTGAGTTTTCTCTAGAGCCGTGCCATCCAATATAGTAGCCACTAGCCACATATTGAAATACAGATTAATTCATCAGATTAGGAAAATTCAGTTGTTCAGTTTCTCCAGCTACAGTTGAAGTTCTCAGCTATGTGTGACTAGTGGCCGCCATATTAGACAACGCAGATAGCAAACATTTCCATCACCATGGGCAGTTCTGTTGGCCAGCGCTGCAGCATGTGTAGACGCAGCCCTCAGCTTTCTACTCTGAGTCAGGGTTCTCTTTTCTCCCTGTCTTTCATAGCAGGAAGCCGAACACTGGGTAAGGCTAACTCATGTCAATTTTGAGCCCACTTGAAGTCACACATCTAATATCTCCTGTGCACAGTTCTGTTTAATTTCTTCATTGGAGTAGTAACTATAGAAAAGCTTCAACGAGACATTGTGGGGAAAAAAGAGCTCGTAAGGGAACCGTGGGGTTCAGAATGCTGAAAGAGAAAGCAAGTATAGGTAGGAGTGACATGATTCTCTGTGTGGGTTCTCCCACTGCCATCACTGGAGGCCTGTTGGTTATTTTTCAGAACCCTAGGCAATGCTGCCTTTTTTGGGGGAGTCTTGACAGGGTGTGGATTTGGTAAGGAGATGTGCCTTTGGTGTGCACACTTAGAAATTGTAATACTTTTTTCTTTTCTTGTAGAAATACCATTTTAAGGAGAGGTTAGGTAGGGTGTGTAATATTAAGACAAAAAGTTAAATACATTTTTTTGGATTTATTTGAGATTCCAACCATCTTTTTTCTGCATGTTAAAGTACACGGATTTTAAGTATAGTGCCTGATTCAATTTAATATACACATACATATGTAGACCTCTGTGATCATCACTGTCTAGATCAAGAAAAAAAGAACATTTCCAGCACCCCAGAATGTCCCTTGTGTCCCTTCCTAGTCATTGCCACTCCCCAAGGAGAATCTAACTATCTTTTAAAGTGGCTTTTCCATAAGAAGATGTTCTCTGTTCTAAATGACTACCTACTTTGTACTTTAAGGAACACAACCTATTTGTAAGACGGAGAGCTGCTGTACTTAACCATACCACTCAGCTAAAAGGACACAGTTAAAATCCACTAGAGTAGTACTGGAGGGAGTAAGTAAACTGTCAAGTAAACTAATAAATAAATAGGACTTAATCTACTGTAAAGTCAAAACAGACCTGGGAATAAGAGTGGGGCTTAAATTAAAACAAAATTTTTACAAAGATCTGTGGATACATTCTGATGCCTCATAGTGGGTTTTATGATCAGCGATGTTTTCAAAATGTGAAAAACATTTCAGTAAGCTTTGAGCATGATTTTTTTTCTCTGTTGGCCAAGTTCAGAGGCTGGAGAGTAGCAACCCTTGTTCTCATTGCCTTTCTGAAAACAATAGCTAGTTCAGTGTGGGGGAGGGGGAATTGAAGTTTGCTGCTGGTTGGACTTTCATCCTTGCTGGTCTCATAGGCCAAGTAATACATTAGAAGCCTGTTACAAAAATGTTGGGGGCATTCACTCATACTTGCCTTTTTAGTGAATTTGATAATAAAGAGTCTCAATCATACATAAGAATCTAAAACCCAAGAGTCTCATTCATGTAGGAAATCAGTAAAAAGGTGGGAGACTCAAGGTACCACATTTGAAGTCAGATGATAGCTGTGTTATTATAACTAGAGTTACTCTCATAATTAGGCAAGAGAACTGATAACATTATTAAGAGTGATAGAAAAAGCAAGAAAGGGTTTCTTGTAGCTACTGCTACTCTGGAACTGCTCTATATAGTAAAAACTAGCCAGCAGCTCTGGCTTGAATTTGAAGGACATGAAAGCCCATCTTTCTCTACAGGGCACTCCACCCCTGTGTGTAGTGGGCATGTAAGGGTGTAGGTTTCCACTCAAAAATGCACACGCACTTGCACATAAAACACAAGGAATAGGATAAAAGCAATTGAGTTCTACCAGCAGAACCTTCTATAGGGCAACACTGGTGGTACTGGTGGATCACGTAGCTTCTTAAGCTGGTTTTCTTTTTGTCTGTGTTAGTCATGGCTAACGCATGATACAGCTAAACTTACAGACTAAGGAAATGCATTGTAGCAAATTCTTATTTTTGTCTACCTTTTTCACTAGGTGACTTCATCAATTTTTCTACCTACTGATTTAATATTTGAAATCCCAAATAGTATTTACATGTATAAGAAAGAAAATAAATGTATGTGCATTTATGTATATATATGAATATCCCCACATGGTCTCTGTCCATGTCTTTAGTATTCTGTCAACCAAAATGTTACCAAATTAATATTTCTGTGTCATATTAATTGGTGTTCATAGTGGTGACTTTGAGATGTGGCTTTGCCTTTTGGTTATTCAGAGAAAGTTAAAAATTTCAATTTTGTTTTGCTGTTCAACCTACCTTGAGACTTTTTTGTTTTGAAAATGGATAGTTTGTGCTATGTTTGATGAAATGTTAATACGAAAGCTCAACTTACCAAAATATATCATTCTCCTTTATTTTGGATCAGAGTTTCTTCTCTAAGGAAGGCTGAAATGTGCTAGAAGAAATTATCTATAGGATAAGGCGCTAAAGCACTTACACTTTAGACTTGTAGGTTATGATAGGACAGTTAACATGCAGAGCAGTAAAGGATCAAATTCCATGTGTAAATTTTTGTCTTAGTTATTCTTAATACTTGAGTTAGACATTTTTATTAAGGTTGGTTTTCCTGATCCTGTTTACTTGTTTTTTAATGTAGTCCAGCAAAATCAAAAAGGGAAGCAAAGGAGATTGTACTGTACTGAAGCCTACACTCATGGCAGCTGTTCCAGTGAGTAGAATATAAATGTCATTTATTGCTTACACTTGGAGTTTTTAAAAAGTAATACTTTTAGATATTTGTGTATGTTTTAAAATAATTTTACTTCATTGTAATTATGGTAAATGTGTTCTTAAAATCTTAGGTAACAAAATGAACAGAATTGCAGTAGACTTATGACAGTGAGAAGTAACTGGTGATTACCATGGGGGAGGGGTTGGGATGGGTGGGTGGGGAGGGTGAGGGGAATAAAGGGGCACAAAAATTCTCAATCCTATTATAAGTTGGTCAGTATGAGAGGGGGATGGTAGTACAGCATGGAGAATATAGCCAAATAAGTTCTGTAACATCTTCCTGTGTTGACACACAGTAACTGTACTGGTGGGGATGAGGATTTAATAATATGGGTAACCGTTGAACCACTGTGTTATATACTTGAAACCAATATAAGATTGTGTATCAACTAAACTTCAATTAAAAAAAAACTTAGGTAAGTGTTGGGGAAGATGAAATGGCCAACTTCAGATATGTATACCTATTAGTCTTTGATAATATTTGAAAATCGGTGATAAAAATGACCTAGTTCAAATTACCTAGCATGAGAATTGGTCATAATATTTAAAGGTAGAACATACTTTAAAGATAATTTTGTTTAGTCACTTAATTTAAAGATGAGGAAACCATCCTGGTGAACTGAGGCAGCATAGCCAAGGTTACAGAGCTGGTTAGTGACAGAACTGAGTCTAGAATCCAAGCCTCCCGACCCTTATGGTGACTAAAAAAACTCATTGGAGAGTGCTCCCAAAGAAAAAAGTTTCATTCTAAATATTCAAAATCCTCAGGTAAAATACAACCTTTTACAAAAATAAGCTGTTAACATTGCATAGCCTTATGATGACAAATTCGAAATCATTTTATGCAGTGTTTCAAACGTCTATAATCAGATGCATTCTTGTGCTTTTATGCTTCAAAAACGCCAGTGGGACTGAGTGTCACTGCTGCTTGTATTATGATCAGATTAAATCTTGTCCTAGTATCTTTCACAAAATTATATTAGCTCATGTCAAGTCTGAGATTAGATAAAATGAAGTGTTCAGTCCAGGTTTCTCTAAGAATTATGGATGGAAGACACTTAGGGTTTTTTTAGCTTTTAATTACAAAATTACCAAATAACCAAAGAATCGAAATAGGTCAGAGTAGCCTTTGCCTTTTTATTTAGAGGTGCTACTAGAGTTCATTAAGGTTACACACTGAAAGGATAATCTTTTGATGTTAAAACATAACAAAGTGATGTTAATAATAGGTAGCACAGTATACTGTTTTCCAGGCACTGTGCTAAAATGCTTTAGATAGATACCTCATTTAATCTTTCCTGAGACTTTGCAAGGTGGGTCCTCTTATTCCCATTTTATAATGAGAAAAGTTTGCCTAAGGTACAGAGCTCATAGGTAGTAGAGTGTAGTTTGAATTTTCACCAGTCTGAGCCCAGAGTCAAACACTGTGGTTGTCTCTGTAGGGTTTTTGTTGTTTTGTTTTGGGAAACAGTATATTGGCTTTATTACCCAAAGTACAAGAGTACCTAGTAAACCACATCAGAGAACACAGGGAGGGGTAAAGGCTGAGGAGACTAGGAAGTAATGTCTGAATGTGGGCCTGAAGGATAAGCAGTTGTCCATTCTTTACTTTGTGCCTTGGGAGGCTGACTTCTGTGGGTAAAATACCTGGGCTTGTTTGCTTTCTGATCTCTGGTTAGGTTCAGCCAATTATTGGCACTCCTGAGAGATCAGTGGGTGGAGGGAAAAGAGAGACATCTACATACTTAACTGCCTTCGCTCCTTCCTTGCCAGGCTATGATTTTTGGCCTCTGTCCAGTGCCCATTGGACAGTCTCTTAACCATTGGCTATAACCAGGTTTTTCCCATGGCTGTAGTCCTCCCCACATTCCAGGAATACTTCTCTCCTCTTAGCTTCTTCAGGCCTAGGGATAGTAAATGACCTCCCGTGTTGCTAGTTCACTGATGCTCCACTGAACTTTGTTGACTCCCTTGGCATCTCCCACTCCTCTTTAAAAAGATGTTTTTATGGATATTGTTTCTGATACATTCTGCTTCTTGAGTTTCTTTTCTGAGTCACAATAAAAGATTCTTTTAATATTGTAATATTCACATACAGTGTATGAATTCAGAATAAACCACAACTTCTTATAAGCAGTGACTCAATTGAACATCATAGAATAATAGGTTGAGATAAAGGGTGACTTAATGTGCTAACAATAAATCCTGCCAACTTGTTACAGCTGTATTGTGTTCTTACTCTTTGAGGCCTTTCCTTGTCTGTGATTGGTATCTAGTGTTGGAAGGAGCAGTGGAAAGGGTCTCACCCATCTGTGTCACTCCCATACGATTTTTTTCCATAAAACATACCATACATTTTTAAAAGAGGGATAGCTTTAGCATGTTAAAGTCCTTTTGGGATTTCTCAAGCACAGATGTGGACAAATATTTCACTTATACAATAGTGATTCCTTTTGTGGGTTTTGAGAAAACAACATTGTACCATGACTGAATGGGGCGGTAGCCTTTCCCCCACCTAGCTTTATTGAGATATAATTGACATATAATATTGCATCAGTTTAATGTATACAACCTGATGATTTGATGTATGTATATATTGTGAAATAACTACTGCAGTAATGTTACTTGGCACACCCATTAAGTAACATAGTTAACCATTTGTGTGTGTGATGAGATTTAAGATCTATTCTTCAGCAACGTTCAAGTATACAGTAGTCTTGTTAACCGTAGTCACCATGCTGTATATCAGAGCCCCAGTATTTAACCTTCTACCTGGAACTTTGTACCCTTAGACCAATATCACCCCATTCCTTCCACCTGGCACTCCTGGCAACCACCGGTCTACTCTGTTGCTATGAGTTTGGTTTTTTTGATCCCACATATAAGTGAAGTTATTTGTCTTTGTCTTTCTCTGAGTTACTTCACTTAGTGTAATGCAAGGGGTGGTTCTGCTGTCCTTGTTTGTGAGTGGCTTTATTCTACTATTGAAAGAGCCATCCATGAAGTTATTAGTTATAGCACAACTGAATTTACACTAATTTTTATACTAATTGCTATTTTAAATATTTAAGACTAGATATTTTTAAATAAGTGTGCTTTATGTGTAGTAGTTCTTGTTAATTTCTGCTAAGTAATGATTTAGTAATAGTCTGGGCTCTGTTTTTTTGTTTTGTATGTATTAGCTTGGGAGTCAGTATATCCCAAACCTAGTCCTACTTCTAATTTTCCAAAGAGCTATGAGCAAGAATCCTCTTCTTTAAAAAAAAAATTTTTTTTTATTATTCTTTTGCTTTTATTAAAGTATCATTGATGTACAATCTTATGATGATTGAAATACACAGCTCAGTGGTTTGGCATTAACCAATATTATCAAGTCCTTACCCCCTCCAGGGCCGTCAATGTCCATCAATGTAGTAATATGTTGGCACATCTTATAGAGTCATTAACTATATTCTCCATGCTGTACTACCATTCCCGTGACCAACCTATATTGTGACTGCGAATTATTGTGCTCCTTAATCTCCTCCTCCCTCCCCTGCCACCCTTTCCAGCCCCTCCCCTTTGGTAACTGCTAGTCCCTTCTTGGTGTCTGTGTGTCTACTGCTATTTTGAAGAATTCTGTTCTTTTCGTTATTGTTGCTATCTTTAGCTTATATTAAAATGGAATAGAAATTCCTAAATTACAGGGACATAAGAATTTATAAGAAAATATAAAGTTCTCTGCCATGCTTTAAGAGTCACAAGGTAGTAATAATAAAGAGAAAAACATCAGGATTTAGATTCAACATAGTTGAGTGTTTTGGTGCTATCTGAGAATAAGTGAATATATTTGAAAGAGAATAATTAAAATCTTCATGTGAGAGGTGAATGAATTGTTTGCACTGTCATTAACATTTTCAAAAGTTTTAGATAAACTTAGTATATAGATGGGACTGCAGCAACCTCTGTACTTCTTGGCCTTAGTCTTTTTGAAATAGTGAATGAGTAAAGTCAGTGAAATTAATTACATAATAAACTAAATATATCCATTATGTTAAAGACTTCTACCTAAGATGTTGTAAATAAGGTATTTTAACTGGACTGTCAGAGTTGGTGTAATTCTTTTCAGATTATTGAATATTTTGCTTACCTTTTAGGAGATCATGGATAGAATTTATAAGAATGTTATGAGCAAAGTCCAAGAGATGAATTATATTCAGAAAACTCTGTTCAAGATAGGGTATGATTACAAATTGGAACAGATCAAAAAGGGTTATGATGCCCCACTTTGCAATCTGTAAGTACATTTCATAGACTCTATAATGTGAACCTTTAAATCTTTTTGTGTTTTTATATCTGGAACATGAATAAGTAAATGGCAAGTTAATGTAATTTGAGTTATCACCACCATGATCATAAGGTCACACTTCTAAGTCTTCTACTGTAAGCAGAGGACCCTACACTCTGATCTTGGCAATTTACCAAATTTTAATAACAGTAAATATTTAAGATTTAGTTACAATATTTGGTCTCATGAAGAAAAACTAGAATAGACCTTTGAATCAAGACATTTGAGTTTAAAAAAGTATAATTTCTGACTAACACTGATTTCCATGATTCTGTATGAAGTTCTCTGATTTATTGTATTCATATAATAGTGTAGTAAGTATATGAATATAACAGTTACTTTAAATGCAGTGCTGGGCAGTGGAGATGAATTTTTCATTGGAAGGGAACTAAAATAGACAACTCAATATTTCAAAGATAATTAAAATTTTTTTTCTTTGACTTCATCATTTTCTTTCATTTACTGTGTGACAAAGCAGTTTCCTGACAGGGCACCTTTTTTTTTCATTTTAAAGAGTTTCTCTGGCATTTCTTCCCAAGGTGTTGCTTTGTTATCTTCTCATTGTCACCATGGTTCTGAAATTTTAGATGTTCAACTAAAGCTGAAATCTTTCCCAGAGCTTATAATTTAGTGTATCACCAGGAATCATGTATGTATGTATTAAAATAATTTTTCCCCCTTTTTATCAAGGATACTGTTTAAGAAGGTGAAGGCTTTGCTAGGAGGGAATGTCCGTATGATGCTGTCTGGTGGAGCACCACTGTCTCCTCAGACACACCGGTTCATGAATGTCTGCTTCTGCTGCCCAGTTGGCCAAGGTTATGGACTGACAGAATCGTGTGGTGCTGGGACAGTTACTGAAGGTAAGTATTCTGAATGTGGCAAATAATAGTTGCTACTAAACAAATCTATTTGCATTAACCTTGGGAACTATTGTAATTGTATACCTCTTAAGTAATATTAGGCTGAATGCAAACCTATATAGTTTTAGTTCCAGAAACTTTATTAGTAGAGTATCATGTATACCCCTGATTTTTATTTTTTTTAATCAAGGTATTGTTGATATACAATCTTATGAAGGTTTCACATGAGCAACATTGTGGTTACAACATTCACCCATATTATCACGTTCCTCCCCCCCCCCCACCCCCATACCCCATTGCAGTCAACTGTCCATCAGCGTAGTAAGATGCTATAGTCACTACTTCTCTGTGCTATGCTGCCTTCCCCATGACCCCACTACATTATGTGTGTTAATCATTATGCCCCTTAATCCCCTTCTCCCTCTCTCTCCACCACTTTCCCTTTGATAGCCACCAGTCCGTTCTTGGAATCTGTGAGTCTGAGTCTGTTTTGTTCCTTCAGTTTTGCTACGTTGTTATACTCCACGAATGAGGGAAATCATTTGGTATTTGCCTTTCTCCTGGCTTATTTCACCATGCATAATACCCTCCAGCTCCATGCATGTTGTTGTAAATGGTAGGATTTGTTTTCTTATGGCTGAATAATATTCCATTGTATATATGTACCACTTCTTTATCCATTCATCTACTGATGGGCACTTAGGTTGCTTCCATTTCTTGGCTATTGTAAATAGTGCTGCGATAAACATAAGGGTGCATATGTCTTTTTGAATCTGGGATCTTGTTTTCTTTGGGTAAATTCCTAGGAGTGGAATTCCTGGGTCAAATAGTATTTCTATTGTTAGTTTTTTGAGGAACCTCCATATTGCTTTCCACAATGATTGAACTAATTTACATTCCCACCAGCAGTGTAAGAGTTCTCTGCATTCTTGCCAGCATTTGTTGCTCCTTGTCTTTTCCATGTTGGCCATCCTAACTGGTGTGACGCGGTATCTCACTGTGGTCTAATTTTCATTTCCCTGATAATTAGCAATGTGGAGCATCTTTGCATGTGCCTGTTGGCCATCCAAATTTCTTCTTTGGAGAAGTGTCTTCATATCCTCGACCCATTTTTTAATTGGGTTATTTGCTTTTTGGGTGTTGAGGTGTGTGAGCTCTTTATATATTTTGGATGTTAACCCTTTATCAGATATGTTATTCACGAATATATTCTCCCATACTGTAGGATGCTTTTTTGTTCTGTTGATAGTGTCCTTTGCTGTACAAAGCTTTTTAGTTTGGTGTACTCCCATGTGATCATTTTTGCTTTTGTTTCCCTTGCCTGTGGAGATGTGTTCAGGAAAAAGTTGCTCATGTTTATATTCAAGAGACTTTTTTGCCTATGTTTTCTTCTAAGAGTTTTATGGTTTCATGACTTACATTCAGGTCTTTGATCCACTTCAAGTTTACTTTTGTGTATGGAGTTCGACAATAATCCAGTTTCATTCCCTTACATGTAGCTGTCCAGTTTTGCCAACACCAGCTGTTGAAGAGGCTGTCATTTCCCCATTGTATATCAATGGCTCTTTTATCATATATTAATTGACCATATATGGTTGGGTTTATATCTGGACTCTCTTAGTCTGTTCCAGTGGTCTATGGGTCTGTTCTTGTGCCAGTACCAAATTGTCTTGATTACTGTGGCTTTGTAGTAGAGCTTGAAGTCAGGGAGCATAATCTCCCCAGCTTTAGTCTTCCTTCTCAGCATTGCTTTGGCTGTTCAGTGTCTTTTGTCATTCCATATGAATTTTAGAACTATTTGTTCCAGTTCATTGAAGAATGCTGTTGGTATTTTGATAGGGATGGCATTGAATCTGTAGATTGCCTTAGGTAGGATGGCCATTTTATGCCCTTTATTTTTAAGCCTTATACATATTTATGCCACATTGTCCTTCCTCAAAATTCTGCAACCTGCTCCTTTAAGCTTCTGACTGTACATGATCACTTCCTTGGAGAATTGCACTGTTAGAATCAATTTTTGTGTTCCCCCTTGAGTCTGTATTCCTGGCCTGACTTCTTGTTTGCTTTCTCTGCTGTTTCATTCAACTACCTCTGGCAGGGTTTCTCAACTTGGGTGCTGTAGAAATTTGAAGCAGGTAATTCTTGAATGTTGGGGACTCTCCTCTATACTGTAGCATGTTTGGCAGCTGGGCACTTGCAGTAACCTGCATCCCTCAGCTATGACAATGGAATATATCTCCAAACATTACCATATATCTATCTCCTGAGGGGCAAAATCACCCTGGGTTGTGAAACACTGGGATATGGTAGTTATTTGAGGAGTGTCCCACTTTCACTTCAAGCCCACTGTGTCCAGCACCAATGCTACCATCCCAAGCCAAGTTGCTTGTGATAGTGGTATTACCATCTGTAAAGTAATTCAGGGAGTTTTCTTGTAAGTTATCTGATTGTTTATGTTTAGTATGTTTAACTTTCATCAGGTCTTCCTATTTCTTCTTTGGATTGCTCCCTCCCCTGCACACCACCTTTGGCATCCAACCTTTATTATTTCACACTGCTCTGAGGTAGCAGCCTTCCAGCTGCTGTGTCTCCCTGCTCCTGTTACATCAGTTCTGACTGATCCTGTTTGCCTGTTAGACAGACACATGCACCTCAAACAGTGCCTCACACCTGGCAATCCTGGCTTTCAAGGCATCTTTCTCCAGCACCATTGTATCTGTTCATCGTTATTTTCTGTTATTTGTCACATATATACACACACCTGGCTCTTTTGTCCCGACAAGCCAGTCTCCTCACTCTTTTGCATGCCAGAATTCTTGCTGTCACCTCTGCGTATTTTCTGTTCCCTTCTCTTAGAATACTCTTTTTCCTTACTGGTCACAGCCATCGTTTAATGCCCAACTCTCCAATTCAGTCTTTCCCAACTATTTCCTTTTACATTGAGCATTCTGGTTTTTTAAGGCACTGTTCTGTTCACCATTAGTATCATGTAGCTTAGTATTTAAGTGTGTGCAATTCTTCCCAGGTAATTTGTAACTCACTGAGGGTAGAGTCTCCTTATTCTTTATGTGCTTTGCTCAGAAGGCTTAATATAATGCTAGGTTGTCTATAAATACTGCTTGATTATTGATAGCAATAAACAAATTACAAAAGGATAATGTAATCATCATGACCATCATGTTTGATAAGAGCAGCTGTCATTTGTTGAATACTTAGTTTATGCTAAGAAGTGTTACTGTCCATGTGTCATCTCATTTAATTCTCAATGAAATAGGCTCCCTTACTATCCACACTTAATATATGAGGAAATGGAAGCTTAGAGAGATTATGTAATTTGTCCAATTTGCACAGTCAATTGACAAGTGGTAGAGAAGGAATTGCAATCAAAATGTCTTACCAAAATTCTACGTAGATAGCGGTAGAGCCAGCTCTCCCCCTTTAACAAAGATTTCTGTACTTAATAATCTGAACTATAGCCATGAGAAGTAAAAATGACCTAACAACATTGAAATTGATGCACTGTTGAAATGATGTTGAAATGTTGAAAAATGATCACACTGCACTCCTCTCACCATGGCCTCATCTTTTGTCACATGTCAGACTCTGGCTCTCACTGTTAATGCTGATCAAACATTGGTGCAAGTCTGAAATGTGGTATGCTACTACCTTTGTTGTGTTTTCCTTCACAGTTACTGACTATACTACTGGCAGAGTTGGAGCCCCTCTTATTTGCTGTGAAATTAAACTAAAAGACTGGCAGGAAGGTAAGAATTTTATGAGAAACACTAGTGCTTCTGTATACACTGAAAACCACTGTGAGCCTCAAGCGTCCATCTACAAAGTGTATAGCAAGTGGGCTGTTGCTTTTTCTCTGTGTGTTCTTTTCCTCAGTAACATCTTTAGGTTCCCAAGAGGAAAAGAAGAGCCTTTAAATCTAGGCATGATGATTATGAATTTGGGATACTTGATAGGAAAGAGGAAAAAAATCTTAGTGGAGCTTGCCCTGGGATCGGAGAAGGATGTATGTCCTATCTTTGAAGCTCAGATTTGCTAGTGAAGAAGTTTGAACTAGGAAATGAAACCCCAGATTTTCAGGGGCTAGATGACTGACTAATCACCCCTCCCCCACACCCCAACTTCTTAGCTCTTGAGCCCAGCAAACATTTTTGTAGTTGAAATTCACCTGTTCAGCTATTTGTATACCTGAACTTTTATATGTAACTATTTAAAGCAAGCCATTTAGTGGAAACCCCGTTTTACAGACATTGGTGATAATCCTTTTTATAAATGAGCTGAAGGCAAAAGTAAACCAGTCTTCCTATTGTGAAATTGTAAGAAGGACCAAACATATATATTAGGTGCAAAATAAGTAATTAACAGCCTAGCCTTGCTAGACAAAAGAATAATAATTAAAAAGCTCTTAAGATTTTAAAAGGGAATTTTCATTTTGGGATGGAGCCATAGACTGAATGTCCATTAACTGAAGGACCCGTTAGTTCTCCAAAATGACCCATTGCTTAGGTTGCTAAAACTCAAGAAAAGGGATGGGCTTTATCTGACATAAACTTGAAATTTCTAAGTTTTTCTCCTATATGACTTTGTTATGTGCATTGTTGTCAGTACTCTATGGGCAAATGACCATTTCATTTGAAAAAATACATTTAAACGTTAGTTGCATTCCCAAGAGTTTTACATCTTGGGAATAAGTCTCCTTTTTTCTCCTAGTAATCCTTTCCAGTTTTAGAGTGAAAAATCTGAAGAAAATTTAAAGAGTGTGTCTGTGTGCATTAGGTATCAGCATCAAAATTGTTTTTTTGGATGGGTTATTTTTTAGGCAGTGGAATCAGAGAAACAAGGTATATACCACAAACTTGGTAAGGAGAATTTTACCTTTAATTTTTATTTTCTGATTGTGTGGTATTGTGCCTTAATGTCAGTTTTGGGGAGTGGGTCCATTTTTGGAGATATATTTGGAGGGTTTTTTTTGCTATGATGGAAACTTGGCTGTATATAGTAGGAATGTATCTTAATATTTTACATACAGTAGGTTTTGTCATAGTAACGTATTGAATAGTTTTAAATTTATAAGAACAGCTAGCAGCTGAAAGCCATCTGCTTTTAATCCTTTCATGACCTAAAGTATAATCAACATCTCAGTTTATAAATTCAGATTTTTAAATATTTTCCTTAAAGTAAACTCTATTCAGTAATAAATAGGTAATGAGTGGTGATAAAATATTTTAGTAGTTATTGTCAATTATTTGTTCTAACTTTTATAGTAGTCATGACTGGCCATTTTAAGAAAATAAAATTTCCCTCCTGTTTCCCATAGCCTCCCTTTCCCGTTCACTTAATGCTGGTAAATGCTGATGCCTTTGTAGGTACCTACTTTCTGCTCTTTCATTAAAACCTGCTTAGAAGAAATCAGAAATTACATTGATGTCAACATACTAGTAATTTACTTATAACAGCTTCTAGTGTTACCCTTCTTGGGGGGTGTTTTTATCTTAACAGAGCTCTATGAACCCTAAGCTTTAAGGATGTTCTAAGTGTGAAATTTTATGGTCATGGGAAGGTTTGAGATGGGTAGCACTTGGTGATTATCAGTGAGCCTTCCCTGGCACTCCTAAAATCATAGTCACCCACCATCCTCATATAAATCTTAGTAAATAAAAACTAATATTCTCCCATTAACTGATGCAAAATTTGATCAGAAAAATATTAGCAAAGTATCTTTAAGAATTAACAACTAATTTTGTTTTAGAACAATAAATGATTTGCTATAATGGCTTCCAGGTGGTTACACAGTTCATGACAAACCAAACCCCAGAGGCGAAATCGTAATCGGTGGACAGAATATCTCCATGGGGTATTTTAAAAATGAAGAAAAAACAGCAGAGGATTATTCTGTGGATGAAAATGGCCAAAGGTGGTTTTGCACTGGTGATATTGGAGAATTTCATCCAGATGGGTGTTTACAGATTATAGGTCAGTGCATTCTCTTTCTGTGCTTTTCTTTACTTGTTGTTACTTCAACATATATAAAAGGTAATATTGGTCAAGGCACTGATAGGGTTATGATTCCATTGGTTTAAACTTTGGGCAAATTATTTAACTTATGTCTGCACATCTCCATTTGTAAAAGAGGGACGATACTACTGAGCTGGTAGGGTTTTTGTTAGGATTAAATGAGTTGATCTATGTGAAATGTTCAGAGTAGGGCAAGGCCTGTACTGTTAAGTGGCAGCAGTGGCAGCATTGAGAGAGGATGGGCGGGAAAAGAGCAGATTTGTAATGAGGAAACAAAATTAGAAGAGGTATTATTTTGGGGGGAGGGGCACGTCCATGTGGTTCTATAAAACCATCTACTGTAACATACCCAAAGCTAGGTCTTCCTCACCATTTACCTCCCTAGCCAAGAGGCAGTATGGAGCCCTTATTTTCCCTAGTGACCATTATAGCATTCTAACTAACCTTGAATCTTGGAAAATTATAATATCAATCCTCAACATGAATCTGTTCTTCTGAAAATATCACTTGGTTTGGCACTGCCTTTATTGAGCCTACTGAAGTAGACTTTTAAGTTCAAAAAGGTCCTTCTGCTATTCACTTTAATCAGGCAGAAGTTAAAATAAAAAAATTGACTGGCTTTTAAGGACCACCCTTTAGGGCTCACATAGCTCCTTTTCAAGCCGTAAAATTTCCTCAGTTATTTCTCTGGTGTTCCATTTAAATCTATCTCTGGACTCATATCTGACCTGAATATAGTTAGAGATTTCCTGGGAGAATTGGTTCTTCATCTAGAAGTTTGATCTGCTAGGGAAATTTGCAGGAAACATGGCTCAGGCTAGAACCAGTTACCCCCAACTCCCACCCCTGCCTTTGTTTTTCCTTGTCCTTAATTGCATGGGAATCAGCGGTTGTTTCTGTTGGCAAGTGGAATGGGTTCCCAGGCTATGGGTACACAAATCAGCATTCATATGAAGGCTATAGCCAATCTGATGATTATCCAAGCTGGGGCATTCTGTGCCAGCAGTGTCATTTTAACAAGATGTCATCAACTATGGAAAATGGAGAATTAACATTTATTGACTATGTCCTGTATGCCAGACATTGTGCTACTTGTCTATATGAATTAGGCATCATTATCCCTGATAAAACTGAGGGCTGGACAGGTCAAGTGACATTCCCAGGATCACATAGCTAATGCTCCAGAGTCCTCATTCCTTCTACTAACTTCATGATAATATTTAAGATTATAATAAGTCACTGAAGCTTTTGGTATAGAATGTAACATTTCAGCCAGTTCATTTTTAATTAGGTGTTTTCTTTTAAACTGAGCATGTATGGGCAAGCATTATGTATAACACGATTTTAGACGTATCTTTGTAATTAAAGATTAAGGCAATGAGGTTGAAAGAAAGAATTCTGCATACTTTAAGAAGACAGACTGTGAATAACAACATTCTCCATGGCTTATAGATCGCAAAAAAGATCTGGTGAAGTTGCAAGCAGGAGAATATGTATCTCTTGGGAAAGTGGAAGCTGCTTTGAAGAACTGTCCACTTATTGACAATATCTGTGCTTTTGCCAAAAGGTAATTTTAAAAGGTGCCTTTGTGTTTATCATATACTTAGAGTAAAATGATAATTGGGAAACAATTTCAATTACGTATGATCATGAGGGAAACAATGAACTTTCATCAGAGTTTGGGAGTTTGTTAAAGATTTCTGAAAGTTCTTGAATTCAGTAGCTTGAAGATCTTTTGAGATAACCCAGACATTTCAGTTATTTTTTGGATACTTAACTATATCTTGCTATTAAATACTTAGCTATGTCACAAACTGAGACTTAGGATAAGTAATTTTTTCCAAGAAGAAAACATGGCTAATAACAGTTTTCTAAATCAAAAACATGAGAGATTGAACAATATTCTGTTAATATGCCTTATTTTTAGAGCTCTATTAATCCCTTAAATTTAATTTTAAAAAACATAAGACATAAAATTCACCTTCTTACCATGTGTAAGTGTGCAGTTCACTAGTGTTACATATATTCACATTGTTGTGCAATCTCCAGAACTTTTTATCTTGACAAATTGAGACTCCGTATCAGTAAACAATTCCCCACTTTACCCTTTCCTCCAGCACCTAGCCACCATCATTTACTTTCTGTTCCTGTGAATTTGACTGAATTGTTAAAATGACTTTAGATATGTCATGTAAATAGAATATAATATTTGTCTTTTTGTGTCTTATTTCACCTAGCATAAGGTCCTCAAGGTTCATGGATGTTATAGATTATGTCAGAATTAATTTCCTTCCTTTTTAATGCTGAATAATATTCCATTGTATGTATAGATCACATTTTGTTTAACCATTCATCCATTGATGGACAGCTGTGGTTGTTACTGCCTCTTGATAATGATGAATACTACTGCTATGAACATTGATGTGCAACTCAAGATCCTGCTTTCAACTCTTTTGGATATATACCCAGATGTGGGATTGCTGGATCATATGGTAGTTTCAGTATTTTTTGAGGAGCCTCCATACTGTTTTCTGTAGCAGAATCACCATTTTTACATACTCATCAGCAATGCACAAAGGTTCTAATTTCTCCACATCCTCAGCAATGCTTTTTTTTTAATAGTGATCATTATAATGGGTGTGAGGGCATCTTTCATCCATAATGATTAATGATGTTGAGCATCTTTTCCTGTGCTTGTTGGCCATTTGTATATCACCTCTGGAGAAATGTGTAGTTCAGCCCTTTACCCATTAAAATTTTTTTCTCTTATTTTCAATTATACAATACAGTGTTATCAGCTGTATTCACTATGTTTTACATTAGATCCTCAGATCCTATTCATCTTATAGCAGAAAGCCTGTACTCGGTTTTATTAACCTCTCCCTATTTCCCCCACCCAAAGTCCCTGGACCACTTTTATACTATTTCTATGAGTTTGACTCTTTTTTCTTTAAGATTCCACTTCTAAATGATACCATGCAGTACTTGTCTTTCTGTCTGATTTATTTCACTGAACATAATGCCCTCAAGGCTCTTCCTTGTTGTTGCAAATGGCAGAATTTCCTTCTTTCTCTCATTGCTGAATATTCCACTGTATGTATGTGTGTGTGTGTATACACACACAGCCCACATCTTCTTTATCCATTCATCTGGTGATAGACACTTAGGTTGTTTCTGCATCTTGGCTAATTTATCTAGTTTTTCCTTTTGTTGCCTGTGCATTTGGTATCATAATCCAAGAGAGCATTGTCAAATCCAGTGCCATGAATCTTTTCTTCTGTGGTTTCTTGTAGGCATTTTATAATTTTAGCTCTTACACGTTTAGGTCTTTGATCCATTTTGAGTTAATTTTTGTATGTGGTATAAGGTAAGGATCCATTTTCATTCCTTTGTAAGCAGATATCCAGGTCTCTGAACACAATGTTGAAGAAACTGTCCTTTCCCCATTGAATCATCATGGCACCCTTATTGAACATCATTTGACCATATATACAGGGGTTTATTTCTGGGCTCTTTATTCAATTGGTCTATATGTCTGTCTTTATGCCAGTACCGTGGACTTTATTACTCATTAATGAAACTGGAAATAAGAGAAATATGTATTTGGATTTTCTGTATTGTTCCATTGAATAGTTTATGAATAATTGTTCTTAAATGTTTTAATTTCTATTTTATTTTCTAATTTTTTTAGTGACCAGTCCTATGTGATCAGTTTTGTGGTTCCTAATCAGAAAAGGTTGACACTTTTGGCACAACAGAAAGGGGTGGAAGGAACTTGGGTTGATATCTGCAATAATCCTGCCATGGAAGCTGAAATACTGAAAGAAATTAGAGAAGCTGCAAATACCAGTAAGTAAGAAATTGCTTGTCTCTTGAAATCCCCAAAAGTCATTTAATGATGTATTGTGCATTAAGTTCTTCCTGATGTCTGTTATTTGTTTTAATAATAAAATACAGGGTTTTAAAAACCTGCCTCTTGCCTCTTGAATGAATATATATATATATATATATATATATAT